GTTTGCATAGTGTTATCACTAACAACATTGGTTTGGATAATACGGCGACGAGTACTATTAATGAGATTGCTACTATTCCTGCTACGGATATTGTTATTAATAACCGAATACCCCTGTCACTCCGAGCACCACGAATGCCCGCCGTGTCAGTGAAGCCCCAAACTATTCAATTTACTCAAATTCTAGAGCTTGAATAGCTTCAGTAGTTTGAAGAGTCTGGGAGCTTCACGTGGAACCCCAAACAATTCAAACTCAAGAGTTCTAGTGCATTGAATACTTTGGGAGAGCCCCAAACTGTTCAAACTGCATGCTTCAAAAACCTTAGGGGGACCCCCCTTGCGCGCTGTGCTGTAAATGTCTGAATGTTGCAGAAACCTTGGGGGCACACCCCTTGCGATTTGTAGCTTGGGGATCTGATTTTTGCGAAAAAATTACGGCGACACCCCTAGCAATTTGCCGTCTTGGAGGGATCACCCCTTGCGGTTTGTGGTCTTGGGATCTGAATTTTGCAAAACACCTCAGGGGGATGCCCCTTCAAATTTGCAGTTTTGGGATATGATCTTCCTTTCCATAGCAGTATGAGTAGTAGTAGCAGTAATAGCAGAAATAAACGTAATAGCAAAAATAACGGTCGTAATACTCGCAGTAACGATAATATAAATAGTAATAGTATTAGTAGTAGAAATGCCACAATAGTAATAGCAGTGATGATAATAATAACATAAATAATGACAATAATAAACCAGTAGCAATAGTAATACTTCAAATAATGATAACCATAGTAACAATAATACTTGCATTAATGATAGTAGTTCAAGGAAACCTTCTGTACAATCCATGAGTTACAACCCCTAAACGAGCCATCAATCTTTTAAAGCAAGATGGTCATTTTTTAGAGCTTCAGACGCAGTTAATAGGTACTGCTTTTATTGTTATTACTAGTATCCCTATTCTTATTGTTGTTATAATTACTTTTCCTACTATTACTATTATTGGCACTTTTACTGTTGCTATACGTTTTTATTACCGTTATCTTCTCATTACTAATACTACTATTGATATTATTATTACTAGTATTCCTATTCTTATTACTATTGGTAATACTATTGCTATACTTCTGTTATTACTATTAGTAATAGTACTATTGTTAGTATTACCATTTTTACTAAATGTTTCCAAAATGTTGGAGACCACTTCCCCAGATCCTGTAGGTCAGTTGTGTTTAGTATTATAGGAAGACAAAATCATCACATCATACATAAAGGTTCCTGCCTCACATATATATATATATGTATATTCTGTTGAGAGGAAATGAAAGGGAAAATCCTGTCTCAAGAAGGAAGGAAGGAAAAGGAAGGACGTAAAAGGAAGGAAGGAAGGGAGGAAAGGAGCAGCAACGTCGACATGTATCATCATACTCCATGATTGTGCCCGGAGCCTTGGCTGGAGGCCGCGATCCTGGAGGCTTCAAATCATTTTGTTCGCATACAGGGGAGCTTCCCCCCCTCCCAACGCCCCCGCCTTTTCGTTTATTCCATCCATGTTCTTATCATGTTTATGGTTTTCATCGTTTTCATCATGTTCAATCTGTTTTTCATCATGTTTCACCGTTATTCATGATTTTTTATCGTTGCCATCATTTTCATCATGTTTCACAATGGTCCATCATGTTCATGATTTCCATCATCTTTTATCCTGTTTCATCATTTTCATGATTCTCATCATCTTTGATCATGTTCCATCTTTTCACAATTATTTCATCATTTTCTAGTATCATTTTCATTCTTGCTAAGTTTACAGTACGTTTCATCGCTCTCGCGTGGGGCTTGCTCGCTTTCGAATATTTGAATTTGCTTTGATCCTCGATTTTGGTGTTTGTACTCCTTGTTTGATTTTTTGTTGATTTTTCACCTCGGGTCATGACTTGGGGATTCATTCTGCACAGGCTTCCCGACAGGACATTGCTGGGCGCCCAGCAAGCCCAAAACGAGTTGAGCGCCGCGACATACAAAGCTTGCGATGAGGTCCCGATGTTCCAAAATGCCGGGAACCTTAGCGACCTTTGTGCCGGGTTACACGTGGAGAGTTCCTAAGGTGAATGCAACCACCTCTCAATCCATACATGCCCTGCCGGCTTAGTTGTGCTGTCTGAGCCGACGTGCGGCTAAGGCTGTCTAAAGAGCCCTTTTTGTAGTAAGGCCTTGCTTTTGTTTTTTTGGTCTGGAGTGCTTTCAGCGCTTTCAAAGCCGCGGAATGCACAGAGCACGAAAAGCAATGGCAGACACAAGTTGGAACGAGACGACGAGAGAGACGACAGAAAGATGTGATGGAGGTCTGCTTTGAACGGTGGCGTCCCATCTTAAAGCGAGTCTCTGATCCAGCGAGTCCAAGATGAAGCGAGCGGAATGCGCTCGAAACTCGTCTTTGTTACCGTCTCCTCTCCTCAGTTTCTCTACTTAGCTAACTGCAAGCTTCCCACCCACCTGCCAGCAAATTTCAACCCTCACCTCACCATCGCCTGAGCAGCCTGAGTAGACGAAGCCTGCCAGCTCCCCTACGATCGCCTCTTTGCGCCGGCCACCGCCACCACAACCATGGCCGTTGGAGACTCAGAAAAATCTTGAAAGCTAAAGATGGCCATGTTGCACCGTTGTGTTGCAACTGAGGCACCTGAGGCACCTTCCTCGGTGTCAAACACCCTTGAGGCAGCTTCCGCGGCAGCTTCCGCGGTGAACCTCAGTGTAGAGACGGAGGAGAGCAATTGGATGATGCTCGAACTGCACGAAGTCGGCACGAAGTCGGTTGCACGATGCACGGAAAGCTCCGCATCCATTCCCAGCTTCTGAGGCCGAAGGCTGTTCTTTTCAGCATGGCTTGCGTCCTTTCGCTTCTCGTGGCAGTCCTGTACTGGCCGTGTGCAACTTGAGCCTTACGCCAAAGTGCGAAGGCAGACAGGATAGTCATACTTAGACCTTGCGGCGCACGTCGAAGGGAGTAAAGTCTTGCTGACACGAGAGGTTTGTAGAGAGGGAGAAAGCCTTTAATACTTGGGAGGATGACCCTGGCGTTACTCGGTCCATTGACTGGTACAAGTGCAGCCGCTTGCCTGTTGCCGCCCCGCTACAATGCTACCCCATCCTGGCAGTATGTTCGGAGCAAGTCCCTTGTAAGGATGTGATTGACCTGCCCGGCTATGGCTACGCCAAGGTGTGACAGTTGCGTTTCCCAGCGCCGCGGTCTTTTCCATTATCCCTATAGAACCCCCATATACTATAGTAGTTTCCATTTTCTTTTCCATTGTCCCTATGGAACCCCATTCAAAAATGCCAGGGGGCAGAGTTTGGGCCTTTGGTGGCGGACTTTGCTCAGCGACGAAAGGCGGGCAACAAGTGTAGGCAGGCGGATGCGTAGATTTGCCAACTCCCCTTCTGGGAGTCTTTGCGGGTCCTGTACTGCCTGGTGGATGCCAGAACAGGGCCAGGGCCCTGCACTCTTGGAAAAGACCACAAACACAGTACTCAGATAGTGCTGAGAGCTGGCGCTTGCTAAGCTGCTAAGTCTTGTTGGCAGCTGCTGTGCTGCTGTACGTTCCAGTCAGACTTACACCAAGGATTCGCCCGACCGATTGGCGCTTCTACGCCTCGCTGGGCAACAGCGGGCCAGAGAAAGCTCGTTGCTGAGAATTCCAAGCAATAATAGCTATAATAGTAATAATGATAGTAATAGCAGTGATAATAGTAATAGTAATAATGATAACAGTAAGAGTGGCAGCATGAGTGACTTCGCCGCCTCACCTCACCTTCAGCTCAAAGCTGATGCCCGGGGCGGGAGCTTGAAGTGACAGCCATAGCCCGGCCATGGCCACACAGATGTCGTCGCCGCCAAAGGCGGCCCGAGAAAAGCGAGCCGAAGCCTAAGCGAGCTGCGAGCTGCGGAACCCTTTGTATATAGGGCTTAGGATATAGGTTTTAGGATTTAGGGTTTGGGATTTATGGTTTAGGCCTAAACTCCTTAAAGGCAATTATATAGGGGATTATATGGAGACTACTATTTGAGAATCCTTTGACGTCCACGACTTTACTAAATCAGGCGCCAATCGTTGTGGATCCGGTGCCAAGGTCTCAGTTCGCTTTGCCCGATCTGGACTCTGCAGAACAAAACGTTTTTTGGTTAAATTGCTTTGAATTGGGTTCTAGGCATTTGGTGTCCTGGGGCGGCGGCTTAATGCCCCCTGTGAGCTCACTGGAGCCTCGGATCCGCGAGAAGGCTCTCTACAGCCGCGAACTTAGGCAAAGGGAAACCTTTTCTCCTTCTGGCGGTTCTTGGGCTCTTGACAGTATGGTGACTCATTGCTTTGCCTTTGTCAAATGTGCCTGCTGTTTGGCTTGATGCATGTGCCGCATGCGCCTTCAGGCTTCTATCTCCCAAAGCTCGCAGAGGACGGGCACTCTGATGAGGCAGGCAAAAGCCAAGGGAAAGGCCATAAATGCTGAAGCCTGCGGCTTCTCACGAGTCACAACTTCGCCAAAACAGAAAAGAGAGCAGAGGAAGTCGTGACAACAAGCCATAGTCCCTGTGCAAAGTGAGCTGTTGCCCTAGCGCAGGTCCTGGAACGTTGCATCGCCGCTGGGGCTGAAGATTAGGGCTTCGATGAGTACATGTGCATCATGTGCCATGTGTGAATCCAGCAGTCTTTATCATTATCAAGGCGAGGGCCCATGGCCAGCACGTCACCGTCGGACGAAGTGCTAGTGGAGGAAGCCTGGCAAGCCTGGCAGTCTACTGATGTGGTTTGAACTCATGCTGTCCTGACAGATCCTGACAGGCTCGCAGCCTGCGCGCAGGCTGCGAAGTGCAAGTGCAGGGCGCTAAGCCGCTAAGGCTGTGAAGAGCAAGTCCCCCTCTGAAGTCAGTGCTGTGTTCAGGTTGGGTCGCTCCCTCGAGCAGCTCGAAAGCAAGGTGAGAAAGGGGTCTAAGGAGTGGTTTTCGCCTGTGTTAGGTGCCGCCTGCAGCTAGCCACAGCTGCACCTGGATGCAGCACAGGCACATGAAGCGAGGAAGAAGCAGCGAGATACATATTGCTTACATGCGCACCCTCTGTCGCAGTCACAGCCTTACGCACGGCCGGAGTGAGCTCAACGACATCAACGACAGCCGCAGCAGCCGCAGCCCCAAGAATAAAAACGACTCAGCAGTGAAGTGTCTGTGTGTTTTCCGCGCTTCGTTGGATCTTTGCCTGCCTGCATCCTCTTGACCTTGCAGTACGCTCTTCCCGTTCTGCTGGGACTCTGCGAAGCCACGCTGCCAGCACTGCAAAGGGCTTGGCAAAGGGAAGGTCTGCATTGCTCACCGTGCTCCATCGTGCTCAGCCGTGCTCGTCGCAAGGACAGGTTCGGTCATTTGCGAGATGGGTCAGGCCAGGAAAATCTTCACTGCACATGAGACGGGACAGCCATCTCTGGAAGGAGTCGGGTATCTTGCAGGGCCTGAGAGGCAGTGGGGTCCCCTGGCCCGAATGCTGCAGAAGAGATCATCGGTTTGAGATACAACAGGTGGTGTTGCACATGATGCTGTGGTTTGCTCACAAATTAAGCTTTTCGGAGCTGGACTGGGCTGCAATTGTGTTTCACCTCGCTGAGCTAGAAGCGGCTCGCAGGCAACGGGCCTGTCTCACCCAGACGCACCGATGTGCTGGAGAAATGTGCTGACGAATCTGACAGCCTAACCAAAATGCTCAGCATAGTTCGGCGAAGGCTTTGGCCTTTTAACAGCCAGATGACTTTGTCTTTTGAGGTGTTCATCCTTACAAAGTGTGACCTGGTTGGCCCAAAGATGCTGGCCAAAGTGGCTGCTTGGCCTAAAAGGTGAGAATTCACAGCCAGGTTAGAAAGCTGTAAACAATATTACTATTTCTATACAAACCTAAACTGTTGAAAATGCTCCCTGGCA